TTGCAGACCTTTTCGGAAGCAAAGCCTAACACTATACTAGGCCTAACTAACCCCCTTACTATCTATTCTAGCAAATCTACCTATCTCTGTACATACCTACATTTGCAATAAACACCTTATGCAATAAAACATTTCTGCAATAAATACATACCATAAATACATTATATAAAATAAATACATTCCTGTAAGGGAGAAAAACATGTTAAACACATTATAACACTGCATATAATCGATCTAACACAGTAAATACTATACCTTTTGCAATCCTAACCTTCACCTTCACTCAGGGCTCTGGACAAGATATCCGCAATAACATTCTGAGTACCCTTTATATGTTTTATTTCAAAATCGTAATCTTGGAGGGCTAAACTCCAACGAATTAACTTGTTATTAGTGCCCTTAACCTGGTGTAACCACCACCTTAAGGGTGAATGGTCAGTGCACAAGGTAAACCTTCTTCCCCATAAGTAGGGTTTCAATTTTGTGATAGCCCACACTATCGCCAAACATTCCCTTTCGATTACTGACAAGTGCTGTTCCCTCTCTATCAGCTTTTTACTGAGATACAGCACAGGTTGCATCACACCCTCTTTGTTTTCCTGACCTAGCACTGCCCCAAGTCCTACCTTGGAGGCATCTGTGGTTAAAACAAAAGGTTTCTCAAAATTGGGCGCAATCAAAACAGGTTCACTTATTAAGGCACTCTTCAACAAATCATAGGAGGTCTGACACTCAGGTGTCCACTTAATTTTATCCGGTGATGACTTTTTTGTACAATCAGTTAATACTGCCGCCAGAGAACTAAACTCAGGAATAAAACGTCTGTAGAATCCTACAGCTCCCAAAAACGATCGTATTTGTTTCTTTGTTTCTGGAATCGGCCATTCACGTATTGCCTGCACCTTATCCATATCTGGCAATATGGAACCTCCTCCCACTATGTGTCCAAGATATTTAACATGTGACCTGGCCATTTGGCACTTAGAGGCTTTGACTGTTAAACCAGCCTCCCGGATTTTGTGCAACACCTTCCCTAAGTGCTCCAGATGTTGCTCCCACGTCTGGCTATAAATTGATAAATCATCGATATACGCTTGAACAAAGTCTTTCATCCCTACTAACATTTGATCAATTAACCTCTGGAATGTGGCTGGGGCATTTTTTAGCCCAAAACTGAGGACAGTAAATTGGTACAACCCATCCTTAGAAATAAAAGCGGTCTTCTCCTGGTCCTCTGGATGCATAGCCACCTGCCAATATCCTTTGGTGAGGTCCAGGGTTGTTATGTATTGTGCTGACCCTATGGTCTCTATTAGCTCATCTATTCGCGGCATCGGATACACATCAGAGATGGTAACCTGATTTAATTTATGGTAATCTACACAGAATCTGATGGTATTATCTGGCTTTGGTACCAACACAATTGGAGATGACCAGGGGCTACTCGATGGTACAATCAAACCAAGGTTTAGCATTTCTTGTATCTCCTTTGAGATCAGTCTGGCTTGTTCTCCTGTAACGCGGTATGGGGCAGATGCTATAGGGTTAGCTGTCCCTGTATTGATCCGGTGACAAGCTAAGTGGGTCCTACCCGGTATGTTGGAAAATACCTCCCTATGTTGATACAATAGATCCCTTAACTGTTGTTTCTGGGGATCTGTTAAGTTGGTATTCTCATCTACAGAGGGTAGAGTACAATCTGCCGTTACCTTTCCCCATCCCGACAGTGAAATCTCCCCATCTGTCTCCTGGGATACTTGCATAACCACCCTAGCCCTGGAGTAGTAAGGCTTAAGCATATTAACATGTAATTTCCTACACCTTCCCCCGTCTAGGTTTTCCCCCACCAGATAAGTGACTTCAGAAATCTTAGACAGTATCACATAAGGTCCCTCCCAAGAAACCT